AAGCCTTCACTCACTAGGTTTAGAGGCAGGAGAATTTTTGGCATGTTTACTCAGAAGTGACCAGTAAACAGAAGTCAGTGGGACTATTGAGTGGGACTTCCTTGCAAGAAAAACCTTGGGATCATGGTCTTCTCTGGTTGCCCCAGACTGGGACAAGAGACATCAAGATTTATGTTTCCTCAGGGTGTTTTAGCAGCCAGTCCAGATTAGGCGGTAGTATCTACCTCTTACCCCAAATTAATCGAAAAGCTGTCTTCCTCCAGCCTCGTCTTGAGGACATTCTTCTTTGCAAGCCCCCAGCAAGAAGCAAACCAACCAGCTAAACCCTAAAGCACCTGGAGCCTGAAGTGGTAAGGGCCAACATGTCCTTTTCCAAGGCAAAATTCTGTTCAGGATTGGAGGGAGCTCTGCTTCCCCTGGACTGGATGTGTTCTGAGGGCCTATATGGATAGCTGCTGTTCCAGCTTCAGCCCTTGTAATAGCCAGCCACAGACATGGTTCACCCAGCATGCCAACAATAATGTGGGTGAAAAGCACTGCACTCCATGGAACAAGACTGGAGATTCCACCACCCATGATGAAAAAGTTCACTGGTCACCTAGAAATAGGGCAAAGAGAACTGTTGGGTATTATATATGCTGGAAGGAGATTCCAAAGCCATTCAGCATAATTTCTTGGCAGCTAAAAAAAAGAAGCAATTATTAGATTTTGTGATGCTAAGAATGCTCACTTACTAGGGAGTTCTGTTCAACCTTGTGGTTGAACAGAATGTTATATATATTTATGTGTAAACAGAGATCTGTAGAATTGAAGAATAAGATCTGAAAGTTATTTTAGTTTGGAGAATGGGTTATGGTTAGGTGTGTGTGTCTCTTTTAATGTAAACTGAAAAGTTACAATCCTATGCATAGCTCTCTTAGTTTTCAGAATCTTACTTCTGAGTAACATATAGGATTGATAGTAAATCAAAAAGTGATAGATTCCCCAGCTGTCCAAGGTTTTTAAGAAGCTATAGTTACTTGTCTCCTCCATACAGGTATTGCTACTAGAACTTTAAAAAAACCAAACAGTGAAACAATAGGACTTTTAGGATCCATTTGCAATTATCACACATTCTAGAGGGTGATTTTGGGGATGAGTCTTATGAGGATGCTTTCTACAAGTTACTCAGAAGTAATCTTATAAAGCGCAGTGCCATTCAGACATAGGCAACTGTGTTTTATTGGGTTAGAAGCTTAAAGTGAAAACACTTTTGGGAATTGTGCAGAAAGTTGAGTAATTATTTGGGAGGTTTGGCCACACATCTCTGCAAATATTTTTGCTGGTATCTACAAAAGTTGGGTAAGGTAAGCTTCTACTGCTTTAAATGACAGGAAAGTAAAATCCAGGAAGCAGGGTGGGGAGGAGGGGAAGCAGAATTGGAGAAGTGGGGAATGCCCCCATCTATGGCACATTGCTTTACAGGTCATTGCTATGTCTAGATGGAAAAGCTGTTTGATCTCTCCAACTGGGGCCTGGAGGTTGGGCCTGGGTTGGCTGAAACACATCTGAAAACCATATAAAATTGGCAGGTTGAAGAGGTAGGAAATCTTTATTTTCTAATTTGTGTACTGTAGGAGGGGAAGTGATTCTTACTATTTTCAGCAAAGTTTTTGTGAGATACCTTCCTATTTTAATCTGTGCAGCTGTCCATCTGTACTGGTATTGTTCCTCTATCCTTCACTTGGTCAAATCTTTCCATTTTTTACTGTATACCTTTCTGTAAATAACTATATGCTATTCCTTGGTTGATAGAGGAAGATTCTTTATAGCAACTTTCCTTAGCTTATTGCCTAGGACTACAACTCCCATCAACTGATGAAAACTTCAGTTTAAATAATTTCAAGTGTTGCAGCTTTGGGGATAATTTTTTAAAGTTTATAAGCTAAGGCCTTTTTAAAATATAAGCATATTTAACAGACTGAACCATCCACTAATCATCTGAGCTAGGTTTGCATAACATGCTAGCTAAAAATGTGTGGCTAAACAACCATTTGTAGGGCATCACAATGCAAATATTGTGACTTATGTACTTAAATCAGACGTTGGGATGCCAGGACATAAGGGTGAGCTTTGCATCAGGATGTCACCATGTACATATAATTCTTGTATTATCCTTGGCTACAGAGATTTTTTTTTTATCTATTCAATCGTGTCCGATTCTTGGAGATTGCCTAGACAAGTCCCTGCAGTTTTCTTGGCAAGGTTTTTCAGGAGTGGTTTTGCCATTGTCTCCTGATTGCCTGTCTTGTATTTCAGCATGCCTTGCAGACCCAGCCCTTCTGTGTGCATCCATGGAGAATAACTGAATTTCCACTTTCCATGGATAAGGAAAATGGAGGCATTGCCTCCTCCTGTCTCAAGTACCATAGTTAAACCACAGTGCTGGGGGCAGGGAACCAACTTTAAATCCCTGCTTTACCATAAAACTCACTGGAGGACTTAGGTCAATAACCTTCCACTTTCTTTCCCAGGGGTATAAGTGCTGCTTGGAACTGACTGAAGGAAATACAAATTTATCAAAAGGTACATTCCATAGAGGTAACATAGTGTCTAAATGCATAATAAGAGACTTTTGCAAATCCTGACTGCTATGGGTGTCCTTTAAAAAAAATTGGTTCTTCAGAATTAACTTCAAGGTTTAATAAGTTACAGTTACTATTTTTTTAAAATTGAAGAATCAAATTAACTTTTATTTGATAACTAAAAGGTTGTGAACATGTTCCTTTAAGATTAAACTTTAGTTTAATATCTTTAAAATATTCTCCTAGCTGTCATAGCAAGATAGTAACTTGTGCTTTACAAAGGATCTTAGGCTGTTAACCCCTTCCCTTCCCTTCCCTTCCCTTCCCTTCCCTTCCCTTCCCTTCCCTTGCAATAATAAATATAACTTTTTATCCTTTGACTCTGACAGTTGGAGGATTTTCTTGGGCTAGGACTAAGCTTCTTTCATATCCATTCTTCTACCCACACCTCCAAAATCCCCCTGTCTTCACTCCACCTCCCCCCGCCCCACACTCCTACTGAAATTTAAATTGAAAAGAGGCGCCCTGTGTTACTATACCCAACCATCACAGAGACTGGAGGAAGAAACCCACATTTATTTCTGTTACTGCATTATTTTCCAAATTGCTGCTATTAGCATTATTTGAAACTTCTAAGTGAGTGACAGCATTCTTCACAGCACTTCTTTAGTAAAGCCATTGCTTGCTAATATCACAATAAGGAGGAAGAGGAGGAGGTGATGTTAAAGAGGACAAATTTCAACCCATTTCTTGACTTAGGAGTTTTTAAAGATTAAATATTTTTCAGAAATAGCAATGATGGACTTTTGCAATATACAGTACATGCTATGGATTCCCCCCTCCTCCCATTTTATTCGGAAGGAAAAGTATAACCAACCAACCAACCAAAACTTGACAGATGCCTTCTTGGGGGAAATTGTAGAATTTCTCCCAATACTGAAGAAGCACAGTTAATAAATTGTACTTTTTTTCTTTTTCCAGAAAGGCAATGCATTTATCCCAGTGAATGAATGAATGAATGAATGAATGAATGAATGAATGAATCTATCCGTAAAGGCAATTACATTGCATGCATGCCCATGTGCGTAACTGGTTGAGCATAGCACAGAAGTTTCTCGTGAAACAATCATGCATTTTTTAAACATATAAAAGCATACAGCATTTCTGGGTTAGTACAGAGTGATGATTGAAGTAGTCTGAGAATGATATAACACATAGTGACTCATAATTTTTTTAATGTAATGCTCAATTTATATAATTTATAATCGTTTTCAGATAGGAAGAGAGATGATATTGCTATTCTTAATAATTTTCTTACTTAGAAATTTGGAAAATAATTGTTTTTGCTTCATCCTTTTCAAAACAAACACAATCAATATTGTGGAATATCCAAGTTTAATGATATAATATTTCTTTGACCTATAAGCTATTGCTTTTATTGGTAAAAGATAAGCCACAATGGTTGCCCTCTGAACTGTAAATATTTCCTACCTTCTGCATTCAAACTGGCTACTTCTTTTCATCAAATGAGGCACAGGAAGAGAAAAGTCAAGGTACTTAGATGTTGATTTGTCTTTGGTCTTGCTGCTTAATTTGCAATTAAAACTTTTATTGTTAAACCAGTTAAAAGCTGCAGAGGTGTGCTGATCCTTACAACACTGGAGAAATCTGATATCCTCTGAGATTTTTAATCTTGGATATGAGGGGATGACCTGTACCTCAGCGACATAATATGGAATAAATTCTGTTTATAATACTTTTGGTTTTTTTAAATATTATTTTTAAATATTTTTGTTTAGAGCCAGTTGTAATAAATTCAAGAATACACATAGCTGAATATAGAATGTATATATGTAAAGAAGCAGAGCGGTTGTGCTTCCTATCAAATGGAAAAGTTGTTAGAAACAGTTTAGATTTTATCCATGATTTGTTTTTAGTGTGAACAAACATGTACTTTTTGGGAGGAAATGTTAGAGAAGAATGATTTTGTTTTGGAAAAAGCTGACTATATGTTTATGCGTGTGCCAGTGGGGGAAGGGTGCAGGAAGAGATTAAAAGCAATTCACTATCCCTTGCTGGCTGGTTCTAGAGTGAGAAATTTACAAGCATTCTGTGTGCGCTGTTAATGAGATTCTGAGTTTTTGGCATCAGGATTTTATTAAAATCAGTTTGCTCACAGGATGTCTTTTTGGCTCATTTCCACTGCTTAATTTTTATTTTAAAAAGGAGAAAGTTACAGTGGTGCTCAAATCACATGCTTTGAGCTGAAAGCATATTCCCTAATTACAAACATGTCAGGGCTGAGGAAATATAGTCTGTTCATTCAGTTCCCCCTCTGATGGTATAGCAAGCAGCCTGTATACTTTGTGGAAAGCCCCCCTCCTCATGATGTAAAAAATAAGCATTAATAGTCTCAGGTTAGGGTTAGCTCATATTTCAACGCATGTCTTCCTCAGACGTGTGTGGGGAATTGACTGGGGTTGTTCAGTGGTGGGTGAGAGGCAATCTGTACATGTTCAGAGACACTTTTTAATGTAGAGTATTTGTGTTATTTTCAGCACTGAGGTGCTAAGTGTTCAAGAATGAATACGTTTGAGTTCTTTAAATTGAAAGGTTAGGAACAATCCTCCTCCCCATTTTTTTGTCTGCTACATTCACAAACATTTGCAGATGGAAGGAGTTAAATTCTTACCAAGATGGGAGTGGTGGGGGGAGTGAAGTTGATTGTAGAAGCAGGCCTCTCCAGACATAAACAGGAGAAAAGCTGTCCATAAGCTGGGGAAACAGCAGGCTACCTAGAAAGAGCCAGGGAGAGGACGGAGTTTCAGGAGGACAAAGCTGAGATGTAAGAAAGGGCTGACTTCTCTTTTGATGTTGGCACTGTGCCACCAGGATCAGGCACATAACTATAAAAACCAGATCACCTCCTTACACTAGCCAGGAAGTGTAACATCACCTGAGAGCAAAGTCACGAAAGAGCTATTTTGTAGATGCTGTAGAGGAGGGATGGGAGGAAGACCCCTACCAGGCCTTCACCTCTTTTGGTGCCCATTAAGTGAAAGTGGGAAGAAGGGGGGATAATTACAAGGTGTGGAGGGAGCCCCTGTCCCTGTCCCTGTCCAAAACGGTTCTCATCTTTGATGAGAACCAATCCTATGTAAGGCCAGTCTCCTATTAAGGAGGGTGAGGTTGATGCATTAGGTTCTTTTGAGTTTTGGATGTCACAAAGGAGTGGCACATGATTTAATGTATGCTTATTGCTTGCCAGACCAGGGAAGAGATGCTTTTGAGCTTTTCTGCTCCAGATACCACAACAAAGTTTCTGGCCCTGCAGTTAGATGTTGGTCTCAGGTAGCAAAATGTAGGGGGCTGGTTCTGAGAAAGTTAGAAATATTTCTTTTAAACCCCCTCTCCCCCCATTATTCATAATTGTTTATTTCTCCCCCACTCAGTTATTTTTAACCTGGACTTTATTCCCCAAAACAGTGTTTCTCAACCTTGGCAACTTTTAAGTTGTGTGGACTTCAACTCCCAGAATTCTCCAGCCAGTAAGTCCACACATCTTAAAGTTGTCAAGGTTGAGAAACACTGCTCTAAAGAAAACCTGAAAAAGAAAGGGGTTGGAGTAATGGCATAATAGAATTTTGGCCTTTTCCACTGGAAATGTCACCTTTCTCTTTTCCCTGCTGTAGAACCTCTTTTTTTAAAAAAAAATGGTAGACTTTTTCAAGGATCCATGTCAGTTTTTGGCTTCTGGTTTTTTGTTTTTTGTTTACCATGGCATCCTTGGGGAATCCTCAAACCCAGAAGAGATAGAATATGCAAACTCTCTCTCCCTGCTTCTGTTCCTTGCAACTTCTTTAGGTAGCCATGCAAGGAGCAATATTATGGTCTTCAGTAAAAATGCATCAGAGTGAAAGAATTAGCAGCAAACATTCAGAAACGAGAGCATCTCCTTGGCATTTGGGCTTACAAGGGCACTGAGGCCATTGTAGGGAAAACTGAGGCTGGATGAGGCTAGTAAATATAGACATGAGTCATGAAATGAAGCAAAATCTGTGTCACCTTTTCCCTCATCTTTTCCCATTCTCCAGAGGCTATTTCCTCACTAGTGACTTACAGTGTCAGCCAGCCGTTGTTGAAGTGATATAAAGCCTGTCCTCATTATAGTTATTTTGGCACAATGGTAGTTGGACTACTCTAGAAGATAAGTTGCTAGTGGTGAAATGAGTTCTTCCAAAGAAGATGTGCATATAGACTGATGCCTACACTGACAGTTGAAAGAAACCAATAATTTGACCTCATAGGAGATACTGGGGGAATGTTGTTTTTTTAATGTTGTTTTTTTTAAAGCAAAAGCTTTCTCACTGAAGAACTGGGAGACAGCTTGTATGTGGAGATTTTCCTGTCAAAACAAATCTAAATACTTCCTCCCTATCTTAATAGGGTTATGTCTCTCTGAATTTGTTTTCCTTTCTAATAATCCTGCCTTTGAGATTTGCTCCCTCCCTATAGAGAGAACATGCTCTCCATCATTACTTTTTCCCATAGCTTTTTTGCATCAACAAAGATAATAAATCAACCTTCAGGGGTGTTTCTTGGAAGGCAGCGATGGGGAACCCACACAGTACGTGTTCTTAAATAGGGCCCTTCCTTTGTTTCTCTTTGACAGTGTTAAGTTGGAATCATCCACCCTTAGAAAATGTACAGATCTCAAATCAGTTTGCTAATACTAAAGATACTGCGAATTTTTAGCTATTTTCCCTCACTCTTTCCTCCCTCCCCTTTTTCTTTTTTTCCACCTTGGCAAGTTGTAATAATATTCTGGCTCCTTGCCAAGTATAGAAGTTACTATGGAAACAGTAAAGCTGCCTGAGTGAGCCAGAAAGGGTTGTGACTTCTAATGTCTCCTCTTGTATGTATTCAAGCGTGTGTGAGATAGACAGACAGACACACACGCATGCATATGCAGTTATAGAATTTATACCATCCTGCATTTAA